TTTTTTGGGGGGGTGTTTGTTATGGGTGTTGGCAATGGTGTTTGTGACTGTTGTTGTTGTTGAGTTAATGTGATTTTTTTGTTATTGTTGTTATTGTTATTATTGCTATTATTATTATCATTATTATTATTATTATCATTATTTTAATGTTATTACTATTATTGTCATTGATATTGTTATTACCATCATTGTCATCAATACTGTTATTTTTATTATTATCGTCAATATAGTTATTACTATCATTATCATTAATACATTTATTACCATCATTACTATTGATATTTTCATTATTACAATTGTTATTATAGTTATTATCACCTTTGCTGTTGCCATAATTATCACATTTACTTTTGCTCGTGTACATATTTTGCACCAACGGCTTGTGCCTCGGTCGTCTTCTTATCTATTTATTTCCGGTGTCCAGCGATGGGGGTAGTGGGCTGGTGGGGAGGGGGAGGGGGGAGGCGATGGGTGACGGGTAAAAACTAATTCTAATTATGAAATGACTTTTTTATTATGTTTGTCCTGTTAATCATGTTATCATTCAACGTGGAAAAGATATGCTGTATTTCTCCTGTTGCTCACTCGTCGGTTGTGAAAAATGAAAAATCAGCGGAAAACGTAGATTTTGCCAAGCTTTTGATCACTGCGGTTATCGGTATAAAAGAACTTTTGTAGAAAAAGAAGTCACCGATATACGTATATTGATGTTTAGAAACTATGTTATATATATATATATATATATATATATATATATATATATATATATATATATATATAATATATATATATATAATACATGTGTATGTATGTATGAACACACACACACACTTATGTATTTATATGACTTTATATATTTTTGATACAATAAAACTGGTACCAAAAAACATCCCCATTTTCCTTTCCAATTCCAAAAGCTAAAATAACCACTAACCAAAGATAACTAAATTTGGCTTAGGAGATGATAAATGGAAATAGAAATGAAATAAATGAAAATATATAAACAAAAAGTGTAAGGCCGAGTGCTTAACCGCCGAGAGTCCTAAAAAAAGTGATTATAGAAATAATTGAATAAAAGCATCAATAAATAACACAACAGCAAGAACATTGAGTTTTCTTCTTCCTCTGCTTCTTCTTCTTCTTCAGTTCTTCTGCTTTTCTTTTTGCTTCTTTTTTTCTTCTTTTTTCTTTCTTTCTTCTTCTTCTTCTTTTTTTTATACTTTGTCATATATACAGGTTAAAAACAAGGAGTTTTATGCTCCCTTGTTTTACTCTAAGCTTAAGATTTGATTGTAAATGAAAATCTATCTAGAAGCTTTACCTTGTGGGAATGTGCTTATTATGAATTGGACACTACGTATTAACCAGGATCGTGGGACCTCCATCTGTGAACAGCAGCCTTGAAAGCTTGCAGGCTGGGCAGGCTGTGCAGAGATGTTTGCTGAACCATCGTGTTCCAGAGCCTGGAATATCTTGGTTGAAATGAGCGCTGATGAAGTTCCGTCCTGGAGAAGGGTACCTGCAGCTCTTGACCGCGGTTGCTTAAATGCCGTGTATCGTAGGTTGCAGCCGCTCGTGGTTCAAGTCGCAGAGATGTAAGATGGAAGACGCGCAGCCTGTGTACTTTGTAGAATACACAGAGAGCAGCAACTTCTCGCCGATGCTGAAGAGGCTGAAAGTGTAACTGTCGCTCCCCAACCAGCGTTTTGTGTGACACTAGTCTCTGGGCTCGATTTTGGACCCTGTCTAGCAGCCGCAGGTATGATGGAGGGCAGCAGGACCACACCAAGGGACAGTACTCCATTACTGGCCGAACCTGGGAGTGGTAGAGCGTGTAGCAACCTTTGGCATCGAGGAAGGGCGCGATGCGACGGATGCACGCCAGTTTCCTCGCCGCGTTCTTTGCAATGCCCCTGACGTGGTCTGTGAAGGTGAGGCGGTGGTCGATCTGCACCCCTAGGATGCTGATGGCGCTGTCGTAGGCTAGGGTCATGCCGTCCATCACCAAGGCCGGAGTGTGTGCGAGGGGAGCCTGGCGTCGCGTTATCAACATGGCCTGGGTCTTCTCAGGAGCGAAGGTGACTTGCCATTTCTTGCTCATGACGTTGTTGATGTGATGCACGGTTTCCTTTCGGCTTGGGTGGCTGCAGGTGAAAGATAGGGTACAGTCATCTGCATAGGCCTGGGCGTTTGGTATGAGCTGCAGGATATCGTTAAAATATACATTCCACAACAAAGGCCCGATAACACTGCCTTGTGGGACACTTGCCTCGATCGGAAATTTAGAGGATGTTTGGCCGTTAACAACCACCTGCATTGTTCTTCCATGCAGGTAGTCCTCGAGAAGCGACAGCAGGGGTCCTGCTATGCCAAGGCTTCTCAGCTTTGCAATGATGCCCTTGTGCCACACTCTGTCAAATGCACCAGCGATATCAAGTGCAATGACAAAAGTTTCACCGCCTGTATCGAGAGACTCTTGCCAGGCAGTCGTAAGTTGGAGGAGGAGGTCCGATGCAGATCTCTGTGACCTGAAGCCGAACTGCCTGTTGCTGATGAGGTGGTGTTCATCAAGGAAGCTGGCCATTCTTTTAACAAGAATTCTCTCACAGACCTTCGCCACGGTGGACAAGAGGGAGATGGGTCTATAATTCGTGGGAGATGTCTTGCTCATCTTTTTGTGGATTGCAACGACATTTGCAGTTTTCCAGATTTTTGTCCATATCTTCTGTGCCATACATGCTTGGAACAGTGCAGCAAGTGGTGTGGCCAGCTGGTCGGCACAATTGACGAGAGTATGAGGGCTAATTCTGTCTGGCCCCACAGCTTTCGTCACATCCAGGCTCTTCAGTTCTTTTCTCACTTCTTGCACCGAGATTGACACATTATAAAGCCGTGACCGTGTCTGTGGTAACAATCTAGGGGGCGGCACGGCGGGTTCAGGGACAGTCATTTTTCCCGAAAAGTAGCTGGCGAGAAGTTCTGCCTTCTCCTGGCTTGATGCAGCCACAGATCCATCTGGCTTATCGAGAGGAGGGATACCATCGTCAGGCGCATAACCCTGGTGTTGCTTAATGCAACTCCACCAGGATTTACCTCCTACTGACTGACCAATCAGCTTGGTCCGCAGGTCCTCCTTCCAGCGTGCAATGGCCCACTTCTGTGCCCTCTTCATCCTTGAGCAGGCAGCAGTGTGGAGCTGCTTGTTTCGGCTCGTGGGGCTACGTTTGTAGCTGACCCAAGCCCTGGCTTTGTTGTCTGCATCTGCTTTGCAGTGAGGACCAAACCAAGGTTGATCCATTGGCCTGGTTGTATAGTCTTCGTGGGGTACGAAGACCGATTGGAGAGTGACTAGATGACGTGTGAGAGCTAGAGTTTGGTCGTCTACATCTCCATCCAGGATGCTATTCCATTCTGTTTTATCTAAGGCATCACGAAGGCCTTGCCAGTTACTTCTGCCCCAGTGCCATACTGTGCGTGTAAACGCTTCCTCCCGCATAGGTCTGATGATAAGCCTGGTAAGGATGGCAAAGTGGTCAGAAGAGCCAACGGTTCCCACAGACTGACACGTTACCGCGCCGTCAGGGAGGTCAGTGATGACGGGATCAAGTGATGAGCCTGATATGTGTGTCGGAAAATCCACATGGTTGGCCAGACCAAAGGTGTTCAGCAGATCATCGAACGATCTAGCCACCAGGTACTGGTTCAGGTCACCAACGATTATGATATTTTCACTGTGGTGCTGATGAAGCAAGCAATCGAGGTGATCCTGGAGGAATAACAGAGGCTCAGGTCCTTGCCACTGGGGTCTGTAGCAAACACACAGGAGAGAGGTTTCTTGCGTGTTTTTCCAGAACTTGAAAAACAAGAGCTCCAGGTGCTCAGGCATTTCCACTTGTAGTGGTTGGACGTGCAGACCACTTTTAAAGCATACAGCTATGCCCCCGAAGGTGCCTTGCGTCCTGTCCTTTCTGTGCCACTTCGTGTAGCCACCGATTCTGCCAAAATTGTCTGGAACCGTGTGATTAAGAAAGGTCCCCACCGTTGCAATTATGTCAGGCCTCAGCGGTAGAACAAAGCTGTGAGTTAGGTCACCAAGATTTGTTTGGAGCCCCCTCACATTAGCAGAGAGAATGGACAGGCGGTTATTCAGACTGCATATGCCTGGCATTATGGTTAATTAGCAGGTAATTGGTGATGCTGGTACGGAGTGGCCCCGGGCCAGCCACTATAAGGTTGGTGGGCTTGGTGTGGGGTGACCCCAGGCCAGCTAGTGCGGAGGAGTCCACTGTTTAAGTGAGGCAGTAAACTCAGTTGTCGCTGGAGCGTCTGGACGAGAATGTTGTTGTTATGGGATTGCTCAGCTGACAAACTCCGAAAAAGACGCTCCTGTCTTTCCTCAGACAGTTTTGTGCGACAGCTCTGTTCCTCGTGACCGTGGCGATGACAGAATTCACAGAACTGATTCTTCCGACAGTCTTCTTGGGAATGCCCCTTTATTCTGGCAAAACGAGTTCCGTTTGTCAGAACGTTGAGGCTGAGTCGGTTGACGCTGCGATACGTGATGTTGCTGCTGAGAAGACGGGCGACGTGTGCGACGTCGCTGCGGCTGTGGTGACGTGTGGCGTTATCTATGTCGTGGCTGAGCGTACGCGTCACGTGAGCACCGTTGCCGTAATTGCACAGACGTGTGGCTGTGGTTTGGGTCAGGAAATGTGTTGGAGGATTGCGGGAGTGAGAGTGTATGGCTGTAGCTTTGTGCCTCTTGATCTGCTGTCTCTGGAGCCTCAGGAAGGGGAGGAGGCTGAGTGAAGCAGGACTTAAGTGGTCGTGGTTTACCCGACGTCCACCACGCCTTCGCAGCTGAGTGGGTGTTGGTTTTGCCACACCACTCCTTGTCAATACGCTCTGCGTTGGCTGTGCAGGCAATTGAGTTAACCTCTAGAGAGTCGATGCTGCTTTTCGTGGCTTGAATATTGTCTATTAGTTGCAGCACCGTGACT